TTCTAGGTGCTCACTAAGAAAGGATTTTTCGAAATGACCATCAGATCATTTTTTTTATACAGTAATTAACATGTTCTGATGCTAAGGAGTTCTACTCCCCCTCCCCAATTGTAAAGAACTCTGTTCCAACTGCCAGTTGCCTTACATTCCGTTACCTCTAAACTGGCAGACGTTCCACTCCTTCACTCAGGAGCGGTCTGGGGCTCCTTACAGTACTAAACGTCGGTACCTCACCAAAATGTCTATGCTTTCGACCTATGGAACTGCTTCCGGACTGAAGGCGGCGGGAGCGATATTCCCTTATGTGTTTCAATCACTGACCTCCACTGCGCCAACGGATTGTGAACTAAATTTATCCTTCATTGTCCACATAGTTTCATCGCGAAGCACGGGTATCCAGCTACTCTCTTTATATTTATCTAACTGGATACAGTGACAAACCTTGATGGAACTGGGGCGCCAACATTTAAAAGACCATATATTTCTGAATCCTTTTTCATTTAGAAAAAAAAGGATCTTCTCGCCACAACAATAATGAAACGTTTTCTGGATTAAATTGAGAAGCGTGTGCCACATTTTTTTTGTTGTTGTTCAAAAAGTTGAGCCGGGCTCCAGATTCTAGATTTCTTTATCAATGAAACGATTCCAGAGTATTGACACCGAACAAGACTAACCCTGATGGGACCGGTTTACCCCTGAATCAAGCACCCCTTCTAACGGTACCTGTTTTCCAGAATCTGTGTCCGAGGAAGCAGATAAAGAGACCGAGACAAGCCAAATTGCTGAAAAATATTTTGGTGGACAACCTTCCTATAAACAGAAAAGAGAACAAGGATTAGGCTGCAGTTTATAATCGCGTCCTCTCATCAACAGATACGGCTTCCCCTCACCAGCTAAGAGAGGAAGACACCCTTAGAGTAAACAAGGGTGGGCTGTAGAAGGATTATGTTCTGACATAATCAAACCCTCGGGAGTTGAAGCTATGATTCCTTTATTAGGAGTGCGGGCAGCAAACAGTCTCTCTCTCACCGCAGGCTAATAAGTCCATCTGGCCAGAAGATGAATAGTTGTCTGCCACATCTATTCATCGCCGCCCCCTGCCTTTTATCCCCCAAAGTTAGGGCAGGGCTTCACTAGTGCGGTGGTGGGTTGGGTTTTCCATCCCAAGAACCGGCCGATAGATTTCCACTGCTCTCCTCTCCTCTGCCTTCTGCGCATCCGTGTGTCAGGCCCTGGACCCAGCTGTTCCTCCTCTTCCTCATCAGCCACACCCCCTGCCTTTTATCCCCAGAGCTAGGGTGGGGCTTCCCTAGCAGTGGTGGCTCTTCCGTCCCAAGGACCAGCCCATAGATTTCCACTGTTCTCCTCTCCTCTGCCTTCTGCGCATCCGTGTGTCAGGCACTGGACCCAGCTGTTCCTCCTCTTCCTCATCAGCCACAACCCCTGTCTTTTATCCCCAGAGCTAGGGTGGGGCTTCCCTAGCAGTAGTGGCTCTTCCGTCCCAAGGACCGGCCCATAGATTTCCACTGCTCTCCTCTCCTCTGCACCAGCTATTCATCTCTGCCCCCTGCCTTTTATCCCCAGAGCTAGGGTAAGGCCTTGCTAGCAGTGGTGGCTCTTCTGACCCAAGGACCAGCCCATAGATTTCCACTGTTCTCCTCTCCTCTGCCTTCTACGCATCCGTGTGTCAGGCACTGGACCCAGCTGTTCCTCCTCTTCCTCATCAGCCGCTTACAAACCTGTGGGCTGTTGACTCTCCATTTGAGGGCTGACAGATGGACTAGGCTCCGTCTCCATCTCTCTCCCATTCTCTCTCTCTCTCCCTCTCTCTCTCTCTCTCTCTCTCTCTCCCTCTCTCTCTCTCTCTCTTTCTTTCTCT